CTCCTACAGTATTATAATGGAAAATTAGGTTGTGATGAATAGTTTAAGATTAACTTTCTGAAAAATACATGAGAGTTGAATGTTCTTTTCTGAAAATTAATGAATAATTACTCTACGGAGGTATGCTTGACATCTGGGTAAAGAAAGAAGTCTGACTATGTCACTTGCCTGAAGACATGACTGCACCATCTCAGGAAAGAGAAGCCAAGTGGATGTGGGGTCAGGGTCAACAGCAGGCTGTGACTTCCAGACCAAAACTTTATTCCCTGGAGGGTGAGTTGCTAAGACAACATGTTCTATGGCTATCGTAACATTGGTGATGTGCCTGTAATTATTTGTGTAATAATAAAGGAGAAGAATGGAGTGGTAAACAATTGAGACTATAAACTAGTTTAGAATGTATTTGTGAGGCCGGGTGAGGTGGCTCATGTCTGTAATCCCAGCACTTTGGGTGGCCAAGGTGGGTGGATCACCTGGGGTCAGGAGTTCGAGACTAGCCTGGCCAACATGGTGAAACCCTATTTTACTAAAAATACAAAATTAGCCGGGTGTGGTGGCACATGCCTGTAGTCCCAGCTACTCGGGAGGCTGAGACAGGAGAATCACTTGAACGTGGCGGGTGGAGGCTGCAGTGAGCTGAGATCACGCCATTGGGCTCCAGCCTGGGTGAGACAGAGTGAGACTCTGTCTCAAAAAAAAAAAAAAAAAAAGAATATATTTGTGAGAATACATTTAATTATATTTATATTTAGCTCAAATATAATGTAATATATATTTAGTTTGAAATATATTTGTAAGAATGAAAATAGAAACCTCAAAAGATTTGCCTCCTCTCATTTTTATGTGGACATGCACGTGTCTATTAGAAATTGAAATACAGTCTTCACAGCTCACATTTGTTGAGTTTCTACAGTGCTCAAAGGCAATGGGCTGGGTACTTTTTCTATGTGATTGCACTTAGTTCTCGCAGAAACTCCATGAGGAAGGTACTGTTGCTTTCACATATAATTCTGTAGAGTTAGTGTGAAGACCCTGCCCAGGAATGTCATCCAGCATCCCCAGTAAACCACAAAATCAAATAGAAGAAGCAAAGAAGGCACAAAAATTAAAGATAAAATTTTTCCAATTACTTACTAATTAGTGCGCTCACAGATTTATTTGTTACCATTAACACTGTAGATAATCAGCTCATGGTTATTTGAAGATTTCTTTCTACTGAATGTTTCCGTAGGAAATTTCACGATGACTGAAGAGGAAAACAATCAAAGCAAACATTTCAGAGAGTACTACCTTGATTGTGTTTAGCTGTGCAGAAACAAAAATTATAACCAGATATACCTGTTCAATAATTTTTTTTTCTAAACCACATTGGCCCTGGGCTGGGAGTATTTACATGGACACCATCTTTTATGCCCTTTAACATGTCTAGGTATCATGTCAACATGGTAATGATCCTAATTTTTAAGTTAGTGGTGATCAAACTTTCATATGCACAAAAATCAGCCAACGTGCTTGTTAACAAGGTATATTTATGGGTTCCACCCCAAAGTTTGTGATTCATCACTCCTGTTTCTGATGCAGGTTGTTCTGGGCCCAGTTTCTGGAAAATTCTTCCCAGGTGAGAAATAATAGTGTCAAAGACTGGGGCAGTATCTCAGGGAATAGGTCAGGTATTGGTGGGATATTCATAAGGCATCATGTTTCTTTGAAGCCTTTTCCTTTTTCCTATTTCCTCCCCAACCTCTAGTTCCATCATCTCAACCCAAGTTTCCAATGGACTCTTCTCCCTCACCATCAAATCTGTTTATGATACCAAGAAGCGATGTCTTGCTGGTTGACTGTCCAGACTCAGCCTCTCAGTGAAGGCTAAAAACTTTGTGCAAGTATTTCACCCATATCTGGGACTTCCAATCAGAAATCTCTGAATGAGTAAACTCATTCTGAATTAGTAAATGATTCTCCTTCTGCTTTAGGCCTTTTTAGGTAGTGCGTGTTCTACTCTGTGAGCAGGGACCTGTACTGGGGACTATAAAACCCTGAGTTTGAATCAGGCCTTGATCACTTACAAATTGCACAATTTTGAGCAAGTAGTAATTCATGTTTTTAGACAATCAGTTTTGTCAACTGTGAATGGAAATAATCTCTATTTTGCTTGGTTGTTCAGATAACCCAATATTACTCCTTCATTCAACAAAGATTTATTTTGCACCGACCATGTGTCAGATTCTAGTGGGGATATAGTTTTAAATCATATGAAGTCCCTGCCCTTGTGGAGTTTATATTATAGAGGTAAAGACAGACAATAGTAAATGGTTAATATAAGAGTGTGTCAGAATTAAGTACTGTGAAGACAAATAAAGCAGAGTTGTTGGATAGAGAGGGGTTGCCGTGGGTGATGGGGTGAGTTATTTTAGGTTGGGAAGCATTTGTGAGATAATGTGTCTAAAAGCAAAAGTAAATACTTGTGAAAATGTTCAGGTAATTTTGGTTAAATTTGAACTCACCCAAGTTTTCCCTGTTTCTTGTTCATGTTTTCCCAGTCTGTGGAGGTTAAGCATATTTATTACCTTTCAATTATTTAGTTTCCTGTCAAATGTGACATTCCTGTTTGTGTGTAATTAGCATTTATAGAAGTTTTTAGTAACATAAACTATACATGAGATATCTCTTGTCTATAGCCAAAAAGAACATATACATTAATTTATTTAATTCATTAATATTCATTAATTACCTATGACGTATCAGACAGTTTATAGAAATTGCAGACATGGAGGTAAACAAGACAAATAGGTACAAATTGTCATTGAGCTTACATTCTAGCAGGGGTGACAGACATTCAACTACCAGGAAAGATGGATATTAAATACCAGTTGCACAATTTACATTCTATAAAAATTAATAGTGATCTATAAATAACAGAAATATCTGACCTAGTTGGGGGTAGTGGTGACAAAAAATATATGTCTTTGGGGAAGCAAAATTTGAGCAATGCTTCAAAAGCAGAATGGGAATTAAATAGGCCCAAGTGAAGAAGAGTGGGTTGGCAAGGGGCGAGGTTTCAGAGAGGTTAGCATATGTCTCCCTGAGCAGGAAGGAACATGACACTTCTAAATGACCTGAGAAAACTTAAAACAAAAATTAGCCTGCATGTTGGTGGGAATGGACTGGAAGAGGCAAGTGTGAAATGGAAGAACTGGGAGTTTGGACTAGGGTTTAGAAGTATTGTTTACGAGATGAAATGAACAAGTCTTATGATTGATTAGATATGTCAGGGGGAGGTGTGGATCCTCTAGCTTGTGTCTGGCTCTCCATGTACACTTGGGGAAAGGGACTGTTCATCACAACATGGCTGATCTTGTCTTGTTGCTCTTAGACAGTAGGAACAATACTTCCTATGGCTTTGTACTATTTAGCATAGTGTCACTAAAAGAGCAGTGAATGGGAAGTCAAGGAAATCCGTGTTATAATACCAACTCTCACTAACTAGTCTAACAAGTTTCCTAACTACTGGCATGGATTTGGTGTTATCCTTTGTAAGATATGGGATCATAAAGTATCTAAAATTCTAGGTCTAATGAGTTTAAGTAAATTAAAATTTAAACAATTATGTTTTAAAAACACATATTAAGTCATAGTAAATGTCGGTCAGGCTAAAACTCTAGGCATTATTCTTGAATCCTTCCAATCGTATAATGAGTTCTACCTACAAAACATATCTTGATTTTATCCATTTCTCTTTAATGCTGCTACTATTGCACTAGTCCAAGTCCCTATTCATTCTTTCCTGGACTACTGTGATATTATCCTAACTGATCTCCTTCCCTCTACTCTTGCCTCCCCCATAGCCCACTTTCCAGGTAGTAGCCAGAGGGACCATTAAAAATGATACATCAGATCATGCAACTCTAATGCCCAAACCCTCCACTGACTTCCTGTTACACTTGGAATAAAATCTGAGCGCCTTACTCTTTCTTACAAATCCCTCCTCACTTGGCTCCTGTGTACCTCTTATTCCTCATTGTCCACTGCTCCTCCTCTGTTCCACATCCAGGCTCTAGCTACACTGTATTTCTTTTACTAGAACATGCCAGCCTCCTCTGTGCCTTATCAGGCCGTTACTTTTGTCTAGAAGGTGCATTTTTGGCTCATGGCATGACTGGTTTCTCCTTGTCATTCGGTTCTTATCTTAGATGTTACTTCTTCAAACAAAGCTTTCCTGATCATCCAACTAGTGGCCATCTGATAACTCTCAATTACAACGCCCTAGTTTAAATCTCTGAAGAGCATTTATCACTCTCTGCTGTGTATATTGATTGGTTATCTTCTCCTACAAGGATGTAAGTTCAGTGAGAGAAGGGGACTTCAGTTGTCATTATGTCCCAGGTGCAAAACAGTCTTTCATATATCAAACACACAAAGAATATATGATAAATGAATGAATGAGGCTAAAGCAGGAAATAACAGATCTTTACATTCATGGGTTTTACAATCTAGCAAAAAATGTACGTATTTTGTTATACTCTCAGGGATTCTGAGTGGTCAAGGAGTTAACATTTCTTAACTTCAACCTCAAAGGCCTTTCCCACAGTCTGCGAAGCCTATTTAGTTGCTGCTACATTAAACACACATTCTGTTTCTTTTGAATTAGGTTAGATCAGCCTATTAAAAAAAATAAATAGCTCTTAAACTAACACACTGGTGAAAATATGATTGTACTCTCTATTATATCCAAATAAGCAATCTGTGTCCCCAAACTATTAGTATTGCTTTTTTAAAACACAAAAACTTTGGTTGGATGTCAAATATTTTTCCAGTGTTTAATAAAATAGTAAAGAAACATTTTCTTAAAAAACTCTGTAAGAGATTCTGGCCTGGGCTCAGGGGAGTTAGAATATTTAACATCTGTTTTGCCTCTAAATTATTGTGACTTCTGGATCCCTTTGTCCCTCAGTTTTCATATCTATTAAAAAAAAATTGCTACAAAAATCTCTTATTTTCAGGTAACACAGGAGGCAACAAGTCAGATTCTTCAAGTCTCATAGCTACTCTCTAGGGATCACTGGGGAACTTGGCAAAAATCTATTGGGGAACTTGGCAAAAATCTATTGGCTCAGCTAGTGAGAGATCACTCCCTGTACCACTGTTCTTAGAGTGGACTTCCAGTTCAGGATCATGCGAGGGCATTGTAAGGTCTTATTTGTCTTAATGTTATTTTCCCCACCAGCCTGCCAGAATGTCTTAAACGTCTACCACAAGAATCGTTCCGTTGGGTTAAGAGGTTATCTCCAGGGAGACATGTTTAAAATGAGCTCCTTGTGTAGATAACACATGAGTGCTGTTCAGCACATCTGCACGAACTGGAGTATTAGAATAGAGGTTGCCTTTCAGAAGAAAACTTGAGCTGAGGGAATGGAATATGTTATTTTCTGTTTCTTCCTTCTGTGGGGCTATTCACCCTTGAAGCATTTAAAGAGTACTTCCATGACCAAAAGCTCTGCTAGGCCTTAGGTAGAATTAACAACAACAAAAAGTAACAGCCTCTCTCTCAAGGAACTTTCGGTGTGATGGGGATGATGAGTACATAAAAATTAACTGGGCCTGGCATGGTGGCTCATGACTGTAATCCCAGCACTCTGAGAAGTTGGATCCCTTGAGCTCAGTTGCCATCCTGGGCAACACAGAGAGATACCTTCTCTACAAAATTACAAAAATTAGCCAAGTGTGGTGGCATGCTTGTAGTCCCAGCTACTTGGGAGGCTGAGGCTGGAGGATCGCTTGAGCCTGTGAGGTGGAGTTTGCAGTGAGCTGAGATCATGCTACTGCACTCCAGCCTGGAAAAAAGAGCCAGACCCTGTCTCAAAAAGAAAAGTTATATGGATTACAAAGACAAAATGAAATAACCAGGTGAGATTATAAGGACAGGAGCAACTCATGTAGACATGGAATAGTCGGAAGGGCTTTTGAAAGAGATGGCATTTTCCTTGAGCTTGACTCAGACTTTGGGGAGCAAGAAGAATTTTAATAGACAGGTGGGATGATAGGAATAAGTGTAGGAAAGGAGAGAGAGCTTCCTAACCTGAGAGAACAGCAAAAGCAAAGGCAGAGTGAATTTTGGTGAAAATTAGAATTTGGGAAATATTTGGAGAGTGAGATGTTCCCTGTAAATTTTTTTTTCATTACTGAGATGTGATTGACATACAATAAACTGCACATATTTAGTGCATGCAATTTGATTAGTTATATTTATGCACCTGTGAAATCTTCACCATAGAACATTCCATTACTTCTAAAAGTTTCCCCTTAGTAATTCCTTCCTCTGACCCCTTCAGGCAACCACTGATCTGCTTTCTGCCACTATAGGTTAATTTGCATTTTATAGAGCTTTCTTTAAGTGGAGTGATACAGTATACTCTTTTTGTGGTTATGATTTCTTTAACTTAGCATAATTATTTTGAGATTCATTTATGTCATCTGTATCAATAATTCATTCCTTGGTACTGCTCAATAGTATTCCATTGTCTGGATATACCACAATTTATCTATTCACCTATTAGTGGGAATTTGAGTTGTTTCCAGCTTATGGCCATGATAATTAAAGCTGTATGAACATCCATGCACAAACTTTTACATGGATGTATGCAACTGTACCATTTCACATTCCCATTAGCAGTGATGTTGCGTGTTTTTTCACACCTGCTGGCCATTTGTATGTCGTCTTTGGAGATGTCTATTCAAGTTCCATTTTTAAATTGGATTTTGAAATGTTATTTTATTTTTACTATTGAGTTGTAGGCATTCCTTATATAGTCTGGATATTAACCCCTTATCCAGAGGTTGCCTTTTCACTTTGTTGATTATTTCCTTTGCTGTACAGAAGCTGTTTAGTATGATGTAGTCCCACTTGTTTATTTTTGTTTTTGTTGCCTGTGCTTTTGATTTCATATTCATGACACCGTTGTCAAGCCCAATATTGTAAAACTTTTCCCTTCATTTTCTTCTAAGTTTTGTGATCTCTTGTCTTACATTTGTCTTTAATGCAGTCTGAGGTTGATTTCTGTGTATGGTGTTAGATAAGGGTATGATTTCATTCCTTTGCATATGGCTATTCCGTTTTCCCAAACCCATTTGTTGAAGACACTATTCTCTCTTCATTGTGTATTATTAACATCTTTGTCAAAGGTCAGATGACCATATATATGTGGATTTATTTCTGTCTTTTGACCATTTTTAAATTGGATTTTTAAAAAATGGAGTTTTGAGAGTTCTTTGGATACAAGTCTTTTGTTGACGATGGGATTTACAGTGTTTTCCTCCAGGCTGTGGCTTGTCTTTTAATTGTTTAAACAATGTTTTTGAGGTGCATGCATTTCTAATTTCGATAAATTCTAGTTTATTAATTTTTTATGGATAGTCATATCTATATATATTTTTTGTATCTAAGAAATCTTTGCCAAATCCAAAGTCACAAAGATTTTCATTTTTTTAAAGAAGGTTTATGGTTTTTGATTTTACATTGAGGTCTATAATTCATTTTGAGTTTATTTTTGTATATGGTATGAGGTTTGAATTAAAATTTATTTCTTTTAATGTTCTATTTGTTGAAAATGGTACCATTTGTTGAAAGACTATCTTGTCTTCACTGAATTGCCTTTGCATATTTCTCAAAAATCAGTTGTCCACATATGGGTAGAAGTAATCATGGTTTTTTGTTCTGTTTCATTGGTCTATTTAAGTATCTTTAGTAAATAAAGACAGCTTTGTTTTTATGTTTTGAAATCAGAGTTATTTAGTCAACTTTGTTCTTCCTTTTCAATTTATTTTGGCTACTCTAGGCACTTTGCATTTTCAGAATGGGATCAAGTTTGTCAGTTTCTACAGAAAAGCCAGCTGAATTTTCACTGGGATTGACTTGAATCTATAGATTAATTTAAGAGGAGTTGACATCCTGACAATATTGGTCTCTAATCAATAAAAAATTTATATATAACCATTTATTTGGATTTTCTTTAAGTTCCCTTAGCAATGTTTTGTTGTTTTCATTGGACAGATCTTGCACAAATTGTATGAGATTTATCCCTAAGTATTTCATGGCTTTTGATCCTGGTATAAATTGTATTTTTTAAGTTTCAAAATTGTATTTTTGTATATTAAAAGTACAATCCTAAATTGTATTTTTTGGTTGTTCATTAGCTGTACATATACATTCAATTGAATTTTCCTTTCCTATTTAAATATCTCCTATTTATTTTTTCCTGCCTTACTGAAATGACTAGAACCTCTAGTACAATGTTGAATAAAGTAGTGAGAGCAAACATTCTTGCCTTGTCCTACCCTTAAGGGAAAGCATTGTCTTTCACCATTGTTATGGGATGAGTTTTGTTCCTCTTCACCAAATTCACGTATTTAAGTCCTAACCCCCAGTACCTCAAGGTGTGACTATTTGTAGAGACAGCTCTTAAGAATGCAAATAAGGTAAAATTAGGACATGGGTGAGCCCTAATCCAATGTAACTGGGGTCTTTATAAGAAGACATCAGGAGCTAGGTATGTGTAAGTGCAGAAGAAAGACAATGTGAAGACAGAGAAGAGAGCCATCTGCAAGTCACAGAGAGAAGCCTCAGAATGAAACCAGCCATAATCTTGGACCCTGATCTTGGACTTCCAGCCTTCAGAACTGTGAGAAAATTAACTTTTGTTGTTTAAGCCACCCAGTCTGATGTATTGTAATATGGCAGCCCTAAAAAATGAATATAACCATTAAGTATGATGTTAGCTGTAGGTTTTTTTGTAGATGCCTGTTATCCGGTTTAGACAGTTCTATTTTATTCCTAGTTTGCTGAAAGTTTTTTTTTTTAATATATATATATATCAGGAATGTACGCAGGATTTGTCAATGCTTTTCTGAATATATTGAGAAGACCATATGGTTTTTATTTTTTAGTTTGTTAATATGGTGAATCAAATGGATTGCAACAGTGATTTAATATGCTATAAAAATTCTTATGTTCAGGAATTAATGATATTTTCAGCTCTTCCTATGGTATAAACGAAGACAAAAATGTAATTAGCCACAACTCAGCCTATGTAGATTGGTAAAACTCTCAGCAGGGTTTCATAAACTAAAAAGGAAGCAGTGAGATTGGACAATGAATACTTATACCCAAAATGGATTATAATCTGAACCCTCAATTTATTAAAAACTTTCTGAACTTGGCTTTAAAATAGAAAGAGGATAACAGGAAAACGAGGAATGTAGCAAAAGCAAATAAAACCTGCATATTTAAAATATGGTCTAGAGCTTAGTTTGCTTTTTGTTAAATTTCTTATATACACCTATATCCTTAATAGGCATGTGAAGAAAGGTACTTGTGCAGGAGATAGTAAGGAGCCTCTGGAAAATGTCTTCCTCCTCTACCAGAATACCCACAATGCTTTATTAGCCGTTTATTTCTTTGGTTTAGCTTTGTCTCTTTTAAAATTATGTTTCATTTGGAGAGCCAACACTTTGGGCTGTTGAGTGTTCACTAATAGTTTCAGTTGATTTTCTTTTCCTCAGGGCTATTTGGCTATTTGGCTGAGGTCAGAGCACTAAGGATCTGACTATTTTAGGGAAGGATAATTTTGAAGCATAGAATAATCTGATTATAGGACACATCTGGCTAAGGGGTGGGGCTAGGAGCTGGTAGGAAGAAGAAAATGACTCATTCTAGGAGATAGGCTGATGTGTAGAAAGGGAAATGGGAAATCACTTAAGGTGTTATTGAATGAAACACTTATGTGTGATGACTCGTTTGCCAGGCTTATGTCTGGACATAGGTATGAATAAGACAGTACCTTTGTATGAAATTGAGGATGGAAGTGGAGGTGAGAAAGGGTGTGAGAGAGAAGCAGCGAGATTGAGTGGAAACAAGAGAGTAATGTTAAGTGTCAAGACTGGTTACAGAGGTGTATTCAAACTCAGGCTGGAGCATAGTGGAGGCAGTTGCTGAGAGGTTGGTAGAAAGAGGGAGTCAGTTGAGAAAGCCCTGGAGAAGAGGAAACAGATGAATAGTAGTAGTACAGCTTTAAGGATGACCTGATCTTTCTATAGGATATTTATTTATTTATTTATTTTGAATTTACTTTTAATTTTAAAAAAATTTGTGTGTACATAGTAAGTGTATATATTTATAGGGTAACTGGGATGTTTTGATAAGGCATGCAGTGTGAAAGAAGCACATCGCACCATAGGATATTTCATCATAAAGGAAGATCAAATTATTTTCTGTGTCCTGTGTTTACTAGGTCAAGATGCTAAAAATAAAAGAGTTTGTAGGAAGAGTGGAATATCCTTGTAACACTTGGGAGATCAGTCTATTGGCCCCAGTCTCTGAGCATTTTGGTTAATTGGAGGTTCATTAATATTGGATCTACTTTAACACATTAATGGTGTTTATTGCCAACCATGTGCACAAGAGCAAGGGTACTGAGATATGTCATCTAGGTTCAAATTCTGATACCACCTGTTATTGCTTGTATGACTTTGGGAAAATTATCCTTTCTTTGCTCAGTTTCCCATCTGGGAAATGAGGTTAATAGAATTTTTCTTTTTTCTTTTTGTTTTTAAATGAGGATCATGCCAGGTATGGTGGCTCACTCCTGTAATCTGAGCACTTTGGGAGGCTGAGGCGGGAGGATCACTTGAGTCCGGGAGTTCTAGACCAGCCTTGACAACATAGTGAGACTTTGTCTCTACAAAAAATAAAAACAAAATTAGCTGGGCATGGTGGTACACAGCTATAGTCCTAGCTTCTTGGGAGGCTGAGATGGGAGGATGGCTTGAGCCCAGAAGGTCAAGGCTGCAGTGAGCCAAGATCGCATCACTGCACTCCAGGCTGGGTGACAGAGTAAGGCACTGTCTCAAAAAAAAAAAAAAAAAAATGGCCAAGGTGGGTAGATCACTTGAGGTCAGGAGTTCCAAACCAGCCTGACCAACAGGGTAAAATCCCATCTCTACTAAACATAAAAAATTAGTCGGGCATGGTGGCATACGCCTGTAATCCAAGCTACTTGGGAGGCTGAGGCACGAGAATTGCTTGAACCCACGAGGCAGAGGTTGCAGTCAGCCGAGACTGTGCCATTGCAACAAGAGCAAAACTCCGTCTCAAAAAACAAACAAGCAAAAAAAGAGGATCAATTGAATTAAATGTGCAAAGTGCTTAACATAATGCCTAGCACGTACAGACACTCAATAAGTATGTATTTTTTTATTATAGTTTGCCTATGGAATACATATATATAAACCATATATAAAATAAATATATGTATTTATACTTACGTGTGTGTGTGTATATATATATACACATATGTTATGTTTGTCTATATAGACACACACAGAGAGAGAGAGAGAGAGGAAGAGAGCAAGAGAGAACAAGACAGAAAGAGAGAATGAGTATCAGTAGAGAATGTGGGTTTGCAGGAAAGGCAGACCTAAGTTAAAATCTTGATTCTGTTAGGTACTTACTGAGCCTAAGTTGTTTTCTGATTGATATAATAAACTTTGTGAGGTTATTGTGAGAATTAAGTGACA